CGGAGAACGTCGGTACTCGGAAAGTACTCGACTACAACACTGGGCATGAGTTTTTGCTTTTTTTTTGTATTGTACTTTCTATACAAATGAAGACCAGAAGCTTCTCCTGGACAACAATAAAGTTCGTTGATAGAAATTTGAACATTTCAACAATTTTTAAATGCAATGTTGTATTTCACACAAGGCGTGCCTGTTGATTTGCCTAATGGCGCCTTGGATTGGCTATTAAATAGTATACGTTTGAATTACAAAGTCTCATGCGAGCGAGTGCTGTGCTACAGCTCAACAAAACCTACCAGCCTATCAGAAAAGCTTTCCATTAATATTTTTACCTGTACTGAAGTTTGTGTATCAGTAAAAACGCGTTTCGAGCGTTGTACTCCAAACGGTATACTTGTGTATCTACTTGGGGTATGCTGGCCACTTCGTCAGAGCCAACATCATCGTGCGCGCATAAAGCAACGCGTCAGTTAGTGATAGTAGACTTATTTATCTGGGCCTTTTATAGAAGCGCCAAAAGTGAATGTGGGGGCGACGTTTTGCATTCACATACACGCACAGTGGAAAGCGCTTAGTGTTCCTATCACTGAACGCCCTTCGGGGACATTAACTTGAACGCCGCGGTAGGGTCATCAGTGCACCCTGTAATGCATTTGGGTTGACACTACCTATCTTGTACAACCTTGAGGAATATCTGCCTTGACTTGAAGTTCGCCCTCTATGGCATAAGAGAGAAAGGGTGGTGGGAACTGTTTTAACCGGGCCAATACGCGCCGGCGTACACGCGAAAACTGTATAAATTGGTCGCCTTCAGTTCACCCCACCTACAACGTGCTAACCCCCCCCCTCTTTGCGCCATACTAAGTTCACAGCAAAGCTAGGACCATCATTGCCGTGAAACAAGAGACAATTGTTCCCGGTCGGAGAGAGTAGCATCTATGTATCTCGTTTCCAAGAGGAAGTAAAGAGGCAGTGAGTGTGCAGGAAACTTTAAACCTTCCGCAATGAGACCTGATGCTGTCTAAACAACGGGTCTATTTTTGACCATCCTTTCATATGTTTTACAGCCTGAGTATTCAAGGTTTAGTTTACAGACTGGGCTCTCTTACGTAGTCAGATGTAAAATAACGACACTGCCTGCCGAGTCATCTTCGGGCGCCATATGGGAAAACAATCCACGTTTTATTCCTGACAAATCGAAAAAAAGTAGAATCTAAATGATTACATTCTCAAAAAACCCATCATAGTCATCATTTCCTACAGAGAGTAGGAAATGGGGCACATATTACTGCTGTTCAAAGGAGCAAAATGTTTACCATGCATAGTATTCAAGAGAGATCTTGTCAGTAATCCGCCTCAACTAGAAGTGCCCCCTCAGCGGTTGAAGAGAGCCAGGTGGTCCGCAGTACTCAATCGATCGCCATCTTATCAGTGCATGTAATACGGTGCTAAATAGTAAGACCCTTTCGTGGAGTCAATTCTCACTGAGCACGGCTGTGTGGAGTTGTTGAATCATATCAGTTATCAAATACTTCAGGCATTGTGATCGAATTGAGATTATTCGAAAGTACACGAACGAAATAAAGATGGAAATGATCCATTATTCAGTTGCACGTGATGCCTTGCACAACATTTCTTGAAGCATTACAGGAAAAGTGCTTGATTCACATCTTCCGTGGTGATACAAATAATTACTATTCCTCCCATTTTTGTGGTGTGTGGGTGTATATGTGTGTGTTTATTTCCCCCCCGGGGGGGATCCGGCTGGAGATTTTTTACTTGTTTGTTCTTGTTTTGTTTTGTGCGCTTATCGTACATACCTGGTGTGGATTTGTGAAGAAAAGATGTCCACACGATGCAGAACAACAAACGTTGCGTTCCGATCTCGAGGTCCAAATATTTTCACATAAAATGCCGCGTTAAGGTAATTGCAACATGCCTTTCAGGTACGCCAAGATTGATTTTACAGCTACTGTCTATATTCAGCTTTTTGTTGGTCATTTTACCTTAAAATTTTCCAGTTGTTGGGGGGGGGGTAAACCGAATTCGCGATGCTAAAGCGAGCAGGGACTTCATACATCGTAACCGCACCATGGTGCAGCATGGACAAATTTGAAAGTCGATCATTTTTATCGGTTATATGTGCTCATGGCAAGTTTTTGGCTCCTGCCCCAGGCTATAAAAGGATATTTGTGAGTGCTTAGCAATGAGCATCCGAAAAAAAGAACATGTTCACCATGATGTTGGCCGATGTTTCAGTAGGAAAAGGTAGTTCGCGAATGCGGTGCACGTTGAAGTTCATTTGCATAACTTCCGCCAATCATAACTGGAGTGATATGAATAATACATGCCCACCTTTATTACCATATGTGGTGCTGCCCCGAACCTAACAAAACATCCAAGACCTTCTTCCCTTGATAACGATTTATGTGGTGACAGTGCCCTCTAACAGTGCATGCAGTGTACGTGTGACGATTCGCGTCGCACAATACACTACCGGAGGTTCTTGAAACCAAGACTAAGTTGGCAACACTTTCACAACTATTTCTCCTCCTTGGTATGACGTAACGCACGAATTCAAACATTATTTGTTCAGGTCTTTGGCTTACATCGATCACTCCTGTACGTCAACCATCTTGAAAACTCAAGTATAATGTTTGCAAATATCACCGCCTAAAACAGCTAGTGAAGTCAGACATCAATTAATTGCACACTCACGCAAGCAATACTTTTCCTGGCTACAGTTGTTCGCGGTGGGTCAGCGAGACAAGATGGAAGCCACGCTGCGATGCATCTTGGGAGCTGTGGTAATTTTCAGTGCGGCAACAACCGTCCTCGGATCAGTGTAAGATGTAAACGGATTTTGTTGTATTTCTAAAGGAGGTGATTTTGTTGTTTCTCCCCACAGGCTCTGGCAAGCTGTATTTCTTCCTGACAATCAGAAAGAATGGCACCAACAAAACAAAACAAACGAAAAACAGAATCTTCCCGAAAATAAAACTCCAATAAAAAAACAAACAAAAGAAAACAAAACAGAACAAACAAAAACAAGCTAAAACAAAACAACAACAACAAATATTATACAAGTACCTCCCTAAGCCAACAAATAAACTATCTAACCAATCAACAAAACATATGTCCTCGGGTTCGACTCAGAATTTGTTCTCGGGGTTGGCATTCGGACCGCAATCCCCCCCCCCATAGTTCATAATGCTCACTCCTCCCCCAAATGGTTGCTCCACAGCCTTTTACTGGAATGTACAGCTATCACAGTTATTGTTATTTAAGATCATTGTACAATATTGTCGTCCTTTATCAGAAAACAAGATGAGCCACTTCCGTCCCGGAAATGTTTCTGTAGGTTTCTCAGGATATAATTACTCTAGCGAACCTTGCGTGCGGGAGTAAAAGGGCCTCGTTGTGTGTGATTACATGGCATTATTCAGCCTCAAAGCGTACCCTTCGTTCCCAGAGACCACAGATGCAGACGGACATACCAGTACCGGGCCGCGGAGGGATACACGACGTACCACAGTCAGCGGTACACTGTCAGCTGCGGATGGTGCGGATGGTCTCGATGCGCTCGGTACAGGTGAGTTGGATGCATTCGGCCCAGTTCTTCAATACCAAAACGAAACGAAACAAGACAAAACAATGTAACAAAACAAAAAGAACTGAACCAAACAAAACAAACACAAAGGACTAAAAGGGACTCGAATTTCAGCAAGTGTTGTTCTTCAATAACGGTAACTCCTTAGAGCCCGAATTTATTACCCCCAATTTTTGATACCTGTCACGTCATACAATTGTTTGTACCATTGCACTCGTTGACTGTCACCAACACCACGAAGTAACACAAATCTATAGATGTGTGCGCGCTTCAACATGTATTTTCAACATGTATTTTAGGTGCAGTGTCCGCGCACGTATGGCGCAGCTACTCGTAAGACACGTGCGCTATTTTAATACGCCAAGTAACTGAGGCTGCATTCGAATCCGTTGTCTAGAGCTAGGCCTAGGTCTTCCCTCAATTGGAAATGTGCGGAGATACGTAGACAATAGACCTAGCCGTAGCTCTGAAAGCCCGTTTAGGGCACTTCCAGAAAAGTGATTATGTGAACCATTCTTACCAGACTGCGCGGTACGGGAGCAACACACATCTAGTTCCTTGTCTTTCTCAGTGCATTCTCGATGGTAGGCCTACTTGGGCCTACTTTATTACCTCCAGAGGATGCAAAAATGTCTGTTTTCAGGCAATTGCTGAAAGTACTTTGCAAGCCTGGACTGAACACCATTTTAGCTCGACTATAGAGGAGAACATGGGAGTGTTTTGGTGACTAAACCATGAACAGGTTTCAGCTTTGGTCATTGGTTAAACGTTTTTGTGACTTCTGGTATGCCCGTGTTTTATCATTTTTCCGACTGAACGAAGAGTGAAAATTACATTTATTACCAATCTCATCTGCTTCCTTGCACTTTGTCTCTGTTTGATGACGTAACCTTTACAGGTTCTTTGTTTTTGTGGGCCGGCTAATGTTCCTCATGGTTATTGCTCTGGGGTCGATGAAAGTCGATGAATGATTTTCACATAACTTTAATGCCTTTTTGTTTTTGATTTTCCATACTTTAATGCCTCTTGTTCTAACGGTAGCCGATATAGACCATGACAAAAACATCCTGTTCTCTTGTTCCTTTAATTCATTTGAGTATTGTATATGTATATCAAGAACACAATGCCAATCCACCTTCACTTTCTCATTCACTCTGTCTGCCTTTCAGGCAATTGTCCTCTTACAATTACCGTACCCAACTGCGGACAAGCGCCCGCACACAGTGTTGCACCGGATGGCGCATGGACGGCTATGGGAAGTGCTCGATTCGTAAGTGAACATGACAAAGTGTACGGCTGCGCAATGACATTTTCTGAGACTCAACTTTTCTTCCATTTTGTATTTTTCTTCAATGTATGAAAGCTCTTTCATTGTAGTTTATTTGGTTAAATACATTGAAATGCGCATGTTTTGAAACAATTGAAATTATCCGTGCAATTGAGGGCGCTTTTGTTTTGAAATCATCTAGTGAAAACGTGGTTCAGTGCATAGGTTTTTCTATTCAAATTGTGAGCCCAGAATAAAAAAAAAAACTGAAAATATTTCTGAGAGAGGGATCGATGTTTTCTTGTTATGCACAACTACGAATCAGCAAATAAGAGAAATCTGAGTTCTCGAAAATCTACAGAAATGCAGGACTTATTTGTGTACAAACCAATGACTCAATGGTACATTGGTTTGTCTTCTTCCTGAGATGACATCACAGGTTTGCTCATGAATATGGAAGTCTCATTAGCATTTTACCGAAAGGCGGTAATATTCCCCCTGAAATAGTGAAACAAGGGTTGAGAATCAGGTTAACTGAGACACAAAGGTGCAGTTTGGGTTTTGGTATAAAAAATGATTGCAGCTAACCCTAAGCCGAATATACCTCAATAAGGATTAAGAAGAGGTTACGCTTGCATTTGAGGGTCGTCAAAGAAGTTTATCAAAATGCACAAGCTTGAATTGTATACACCAATCTCTAAAGTAAGAGCGCATCTGGTCATTACCAGAAGACTTTGAGACGCTGGTGGCAGCAGATTTACCGGTCTTTTTCACAGTGTTGCCCGTGCTCTGAAAAATGCACGCTTGCTCAGAGCACCGCATGCACCCCCCCCCCCAAAAAAAAACAACTGGGAAAAAGGACCAGTATTTTTTGTTGTTGCTTCCACATACCGTCTCAACATTTCCCGTTAAGAAGGAGACATCCAGGTTTTGACAAATCAGCATGATATGCCGCGGTCTGCAGCAAACTCGAGGAAACAAATGGAAATTAGTGTGTCATACAGTGGTAGGATATACGGAGAATGGTAACAAAATGGCTTGATGTCATCAGCCTCATCCCCATGGCTGTGGGTACGTTTCTTCGATCGTAAGGCTCTGCTCCATTGGTTCGAAGACTCCACGATAAGTGCACGCATGCGGTCTTTCGGCTCTATGGGACACTGTTGCTTAAGTCGTCATTTCACCCTGGCTATATCCCTGCGAATGGAGCCTGCGGAGGTTTAGGGGGCTTCTCTGTGTGATGGAGGACCATTCTTTTGTCCTGAAACAAATGTCATGTTGGTGAGGACTAGGCTAATCAAATGACTTTCATTATCTGAAAATAAAAACTGTATGACTCTTAAGAACTTCAATTAAAGATTCAAAGATTTGCCATGTTTGCGTCTTAGTCACTGCTAACTTGCACCTTGTCTGATGGCAACGTGCTCAATTTGTGTACAATTCACAGCCATATGCAGCCCCTCCTGTCACCCTACTCGAGGACGATGCGTCAGGCCTAACGTCTGCCAGTGTAATACAGGGTATCACGGTAGAACCTGCAGCTATGGTGAGTGGAACTAGTTGGCACCCTTTTTCCCCTCAGAAGGGGCTGTTAGCAGGTGTTCACGCTTGGAAAATTTGCCAGTATGTCAACATCTCACCTAAGTATTCTTCCTCTGCTTAGTTCTGCTTATTGTTTAGGGTCGTACGCTAAACGCCAGCAAGCTTTTTGGTTGGAAACAAGACGTCTGATGGAATTATTTTGTTATTCAATGATTTTACGTAGTAACATACACAGTCACGTTTTTGGAGCAGTGAATATTCCTTTATTTCCTCTCTTCCTTGGAATAAAAATCCCCCGGTATTTTTGCAACTGGGTTTTTTGCATGAATGTGAAACCCATAAAGGTGGAGCCAGGGCTGAACTAAGGACACCCTGGTGGTCATTAGCTTGCAAAAAAATGCCAAAGCCAGATTCACTGCGTTAACAATCTGGTTCACGCAGGGATTTTATTCTGTTATAGCAATCCATCACCTAACCGAAAGCCCGGGTTGATATTCGAATAGTGTAGAAGCAAGTCAGGTTAAATGGTGTCGATAAAAATCACTTTATGGTACATCAGGGATTGGTAATGGCTCTGAGGACATTAAATGAAGGTGTTGCATAAAATGACTACACATTACTAAAAATAATAATAGCACGTTTGGCTTTATCATGTATGTCATTACTAAGAAGTAATTGCAGAATACCGCATCACTCTAAAAAAAAAAAGGAAAGAAAAAAGACAAAAAACACCACGCCTGAGATGACTGGTTACGTGGGTACAAGGTAAAAATCCTTTGAGAAGAGTGTGACACTTTGACCTGCACCTGGCTATGAGGTTGATCATGCAGGGTGCGGGGTATTCTACAATTGTACTATTACTGACGTCCTTTGTAAATGTTTGCTATATCTGCAGGAAAACCCCTATAAGAAATATTTTCAACTGTTATGTTGCAAGCTATGCGTGCGATATTTACAACACACTGTGCGTCGTCTTCATGTGAGTCAAGGGCACTCACAAGTATTCAACACTGGCTACGGCTCTAATTCACCGCTGCCTCTTTTGATCAAAACTCTCTGCCGTACTCGCAGTCGACAGGACTGGAGTGCTACCCCATAAATTGATACAGGTGATCTGTATTAACACCGCATCCATTCTCCCCCTTAATTTAATCTGCCAAAAAACCTCCCTCAACCAGGGTCAACAACCTTCAATTTTATTTCTTCTGTGACCCTCACATCCCCTTGTGCCTTACTAGTGCCTGTTCACACAACACCCTTTCCACCTGCTGCTTCATCCACTCACCAGGCTCTTCCCTTTGTCTTTCTGCATTCGTCAATACATGTATGTGGTTGATACCCGACTTGCTTGTTTGTCTCTGGCCGGTCATCTGTTTGCCTTTCAAAAAGATCCTGCTAGGACCAAAAAATCGGGCCCTCCTGCTTTCTTGATTTGCATTTCATTTCACTGTAGCCAGCAACTTCAGAGGTTTGCAGCAGCTTTTGTATTATTAATAATCCGCATCCATTTGGTGGAATAGCCGCTTCGAGCAGAAGCACCCCCTCATCGGTTGAAAAGAGCCATGTTGATCGGGTGTGCTCATTTTGTTGGTTCCCGAAGCGGCCGTATGCGTGCATTTCACAATCGTTTGTGAACTAGCGAAGTGCAGTTTCGAGCGAAGTTGGACCTCAATTTAACTGCTAAAAAAAATTGCTCCGTCACTCTTCACCAAGAGAATTTTTTTACCCGTTTCAGATATTAATGAATGCATGCGAAAGTCAAAGGCTTACCCGCAGTGCGACCACATATGCATCAACACGGTCGGCAGCTACCGTTGTGAGTGCCACTCGGGCTACGCACTTGACGCTGACGGACACAGCTGCACTGGTAGGAAATCTTCTGTTCTGTATTTTCTCGCTTGTATGTTCTCTGCGACTTTTGCGTCTAAAGTGTCTCTACTTAGGTATTAACATTATGTAACACCCAGATGTAGATGCCTCCAAGGAGTCTAGATTAAGCGGTTACCATTTTCGTTTCAATCCGTGTCGTGACATCCACACAAGGACTGAATGGGAAGTTACAAGAATCGCTTTATTTCACATTAAAAGAACAGTGAAAAAGGGCTCCAATGTTGCCAGCCTCAATAAGCATATTGATGGCAAAACGTACTTTATTTTATAGAATAGTCTTACTCCTCTCTAAAAAAAGTCCTTTAAAAAGGATTTTCACGAGGCTTTGATAATATTCCTGCCCCATTCCTTATTCTTGTTCTCACAATATCAGTGTTTGGCCAAGCAGTTTCCCGTTAAAATACGAAGGTTTAATTAATTTGTCTCGAATACCTTGGATCTCACTCAGTCTTTCTGGTTTACAGATATCAATGAGTGCTCCATGTCCCGCACCCAAGACTGTTACCATAAGTGCGTGAATACGCCTGGAAGCTACAGGTGTGAATGCTATCGAGGATACACCCTTAAGGCAGGTGGAAAAGAGTGCAAAGGTGAGGCGCTCGGATCCTCGACTTCCAAGAAGCCATTCAGTTGGCCTGAGTCTAACACCACTTCGTTGAATAACGTGAAATACATGGTCACTTGCAATGTGTGTAAAGAGAACTAACACCCCTAAAAACGAAAAACAAATCGAGAACTATTTAGAAAAAAATGGAACGAAAAAATACTATCCAATCAAATGAAAGTGTTCCAAACTAATCAGTAAGTTCTTCATGAAAAAAATAGTTATATATAAATTCAGAAAATCAGCTGGCCCACCCTTCCACTTTACTCAGTTTATTTCTGTGAAGTCTTAAGGCATGCACTGTATGTTCTCGTGGATTTATAGTTCATTTCTTTACGTGTTCTTTTCACCGCGTCTTGTCTGCCAAATTGTATGTACATGTGTATTCAGTTGTTAGGGTGAAGGGCATATACATTCCTCTCTGTCATTAGGTGTAGTATAACTACACGTCTTTCGGTGTTTCAGCTTTCATTTCTCCTCTTGGTCCAAGAGATTGTCTTGTAATTTCACATGCTGGCTCTTATGAGCATTACTTAAATTGACCAATACATCACATCAAAAGGAAGGTCCGTCGGGCCCATGATGATGAGTGATGGAAGTATATAGCTTCAGCAAAGACAATACAACCCTCAGGTTGTCGTTTGGGTGCTTGTGTCTTTTAATATGATTCATTCAAATAATAGAGTGACTAAGAGGGCGGTTGACGAGTCAGACTGACTGAGAGTAAAACCTTACAAAGTAATGTTCGTCTTCGTGGATTTAGTAATTATGATTCAACTGAGCTGCCGACTGGCTATTAACCTCTTTCTCAGTCAGTCATCATGCATTTTTCCCCGTATCATCTTAAGATGACAACGAATGCACAGGGATGAATAACCAATGCGACCAGATCTGCATAAATGAACCACGAGGTTATTCTTGCAACTGCGCGATGGGATACGCATTGTCTCGTCTGTACAATTGTCTAGGTAAAGTGTAGAAGTAACAATCAGAATTCCGAGGGGTAGATGATTTAGCAAAAGCAAAACTTTTTTCAGTAATTCCGTGCTAGATGGGGTTTATTTCAGAAGCAGGGATTTCCGAGTGAATTTGTGCATATCTTCACAAAGTGACAAAAAGCCCATTTTATGCCAAATGCATTCCAAGGTAAACGTGTTTGAAAATACTCCTCATTTTATGACACATCTTCAAATATATATACTTTGTTTGTCTCTGTGCAAGATCATGATGTGTTGGAGCTTTCAAATGTTAATCCACACTCGGTTGCACAAGTATCGTTTTATTTCATCAATAAAAACGTTTTGACTTGTCAATGCAAAAACAATATCTAGAGATCTTTATGTTTTTTCGATTACTTCGTACACACTTTTGTCACTTCGTGAAAACAAAAGAGACATAGGGACTGACCGTTTACGTCAAATGTTTGCGTGCTATTAATATGAAAGGAAACACGATGATTTTACTTTGAAAGTTTGCCAAGTTTTTCTTTGAATGGAGTGTACTATGAAATGACAGGAAAATCCCTAGATCAAACAAATGCTCAGTTTCCAGGTTTTTCGTGAAGAAACTGATGGATTGTTCCAAAAGAAATGTTTGTACACTATACTTGAAATTGAATTCTCACTTCTGTTTTTTTGTTTTTTTCTGACGTCAAGGTGACGTTTCTGCCACTGAGGATGTGATCGCAAACGATCCAAACTGCGTAGAGATGCACAGAATGACGTTTTAATTGTAGAGAAGCGATTGACAATGTTGCTCTACAAAAGATCGCACACAAACAGGAAACCGTTAACTAGTTACCGAGCAACTCACCTCAAAAACCATGTGAGGATACCAAACATACAAAAAAAAGCTTCCACATTTTTTGTAAGAAATGCTGCCAGATGTTCTTGCCATAAGAAGGGTTCCCTACCTTGCTGCAATCTTGACTTCCCTATTATTAATTTGTCTTGGTCAGACATAGACGAATGTGAACTGGGTGAACCATACGAGGACTGTGACCAGATTTGCACCAACGCCGTGGGCACGTTCACGTGTTCGTGTAACGCTGGCTACGAGCTTGGAATGGACAAGAAGACATGCATCGGTAACCAAAACTAAAGTGCATCTAACTTTGTGCATAAGTTATGTCAACCATGACCTCCGCACCTGTCATTTTAACATGTTTTCTTATAAAGACATGCATATCACCAAAGGAGTAGAGGCACTAGAGACCAGAACAGTCGCATTTGAAGTTGCACTCTTATGCATGTGATCAAATAACGAGGGCTTAAATTTCAATTGGAAAACTCAGCTGGTATGGAGTCTACTCGCATTAACAAACTTGAGCAGCCTGTCTTCAAACACTATAGATTAAAAACGTCTGATTAATTAACGATTTATGAATAATAGACCACAGCGCCATCAAAATCCAACTGTTAATGAACTTAGGTCTTGGCTTTAGCGGTGACACATAGAGCTTAACACGCAGGCTTACTATAAACTCACAGGACCACGGGAGCAAGCGAGGGCTTTCCTTTTGATATTTAACCTTTCCCCAGAAATTTTAAGAACTAAACTCAAGCCATTTCTAAGGATGGGTTTGCGTCAGGGAGATGCGTCGATTTAACGCAAGCCGTTCTTTTCTTGGCAGATGTTGACGAGTGTGCCCCGCCCATGAACTGCGACGTGATCAAACTCTGTGAAAGCGGAAGTCAAAATATGAACTGCTCTTACGTCGACGGTCACTTGGTTGACCTCAGTAGTTGCAATGGAGGTAAGACGTCTTGTGAGAGTACAGTGTAGACCCTGATTCTTCCCTTGGCTTTTGCACCGAATTCTGATCAGGCTGTAGGCTGACGAAGTTGTTCCAGTTTACATGTATGTAACTTTTAGGATGAGGAGGTATGCTCATTGACAAACAGTGGGCAAACCTTCCACGTTTTGATAGAATAAAAGAAAATACGCTGAGCTAGCATCAAACGCACTGTCAGCGAGATAGACAACTGAATAATGATGACACACGTGTTAACCATGACAAAAAGTTTGTGGTCGTTTTACGTAAAAGGAAGTCTCACGTTTTGGTTTATTATGCAGCGTACGTTTGCCTACGAAGCGCTCGTCTGTATATTGAAAAGGTGGTCTCGAAGTTGATTCAACCTCGTCCGTTACTAATCGTTTGATCCGATCCTACTTAAAATTTACGGAGAACAGAGGAAAAACTTTTGTTTGTTTGCATTCTTGGTTCTATCATCGTAGGTACGTCAGTAATGCTTTACGCGAAAGACACCAACGATCACTTTCGGCACGAATATAGCTTTTCTTTTTGGTGGAACACATCTTGTCACAAAGAATACGAACAAATTCTCTGTATAAAGCATAAAGAGTATTGATTCCTATTTCCTCGAAAAATATATCTTATAGTTCTTATTAGCTTGGTTTGAGTACTCTGGGTCATATTATGCACAAGCCTATCGAAAGACAAAGACTAGGAACGTTTTTGCATTAGGTCTACTTTTAGTTTCGCAGGATTTAGTGCATAGGCCTAAAGGCCCACAGTTAAAAAGCTTTCCAAGATCAAAATCGGTTTTCCCCTCATCGTGTATCCTTTGTGCATCCATTGACTACGCAGGCGAAGACTGTTGTTCCAGGCTAGACTACAACTGTACCGAGTTGCAGGTCTGTCAGAGGACATCGCAGGTCCTAACCTGCGCTTGCATTGATCGAGACGGACACGCCCTAACGGAAGTCGAAGAGGACCCTGGAGGTAATACGTTTTGCTACCTTCCGTGAGGAAATGACTTGAGAAAATGATCTTAATTGGAGAATATACGTGCAGATATGCCCGGTTTCCGTTTTTCTCAATATCAACAAAAGATTCCTGATTTTACAATTCTGCTTCTTTTTGCAGGAACAGCATTCGAGCATTAACCCAAATGTTGTTCCTGCCTATTATGGACGCCTGAGATAAATTTGCAAAAAACAAAAAACAAAGACAAAAAACCCACCCCTAGCAGCTTTTCAGGGGAAAAAAAACCCTACACTACTTGGCTGTGGAAAGCATATTCAAAAATATTTGAACAATTTCCCCAAAGATGTCCTGTTTTCTATGCATTGGAGCTTTCCCCTTAAACGTTGATATTAAATTATTGTGTGAAACCAGCATTATTGTTTTAAGAGGCTTTTAAAATTAAAACTTGCAATTCTAAGTCAACCTGCAATTAAGATGATGCAAACATGTATTAATAGTCTTAGACCACTGGTTCTTGATAGTGTTGGTAATTCAAAGGATTTTTTTCCTTGGATCTTAAGGCACAAGCGGCTACGACCTGTCTGTGTTGCGACGCTGTGAGAAGGTAAACGGGTATTTCACTTGCGTCTCGGTCTCCGGCTATGACCTCGTCATCGACAATGAGTTCTGCGAGGGTGAGTTTGTTTTGAGAAGTGTGAGAGTTTTGGAGAAATTGTATTCTCTACCTCTGGACCTTTCTTGTTAGAAACTCCTCGCTCTATTTGCCTCAAGCAGAAGCAACCCCTCATTTGTTGAAAAACAGAATTGTCGGGAGTATCCATTAGGCCTAGCAATGGGATTGTAATGCATACGTTTCCTAGAATCATTCGTGAACCAGCGAAGCTCAGTTCTCACCAAAGGAGCCTGATCCCTTGATAAGAAAATCGCCCCCTTCTGGGTCCAGCTCGAGGCTCATACCAACCAGCAAGAGAAATTGGGCCCTTAACATGCATGGCAAACTTATTCGTAGCTAAAGAGAGGGGCGCCATTCAAATGAAAAGAAAAACCCTAGCATGCCTTATGGATGAAGGGAACCAGCGTTCTGATCACCGGTCAGGATTCAGATCTGTGTGAACGTGACGAAGAAACAAACAAACCCAGGTGAAGTGTCATTTATACCCAGAAAGGATTGCATACAGGGGACTAGAATTTCCTGGAGGCATCGAGTGCAGTCGACGTTTGCCGATCAATGATATTCATGTTCTTAAACTGTGCTAGATTAAAGACCACACTTATTACTCGTATAAGTTCTTTAATCTTTCTTTTTTCCTATCGATGGGGGACTCCCCCGTCCGGTTTTGTACTCATTTATGTTTTTGTTTTCTTCACAGCTCTACAAAAGCATAACTGCACGGAAAGGGAATTCTGCAGGAACACTGTGGGTGGCTACGAATGTCCTTGCAAGGAGGGATACATCCGAAACGACGATACCCAGTTATGCGACGGTAAGATTCCGCCGCTGTGAATGAGCGTCTATGTTGGTAGCCGGAGCACATTAAACTTGCTCAGCTGAAGTCAGCTGACGACTGGTGCCAACCATGCAAGCATACAATCACTAATGCATAGCTGAAGACACCCGGACTCCTGGTCCCGAGGGGTGTCAGAGATAACTTTCTCTGGTGCCAAAGTGACCACAAAGTGACCCAGGCAAAGGTCAGTCTGACCGATAGTTCTCGAGCAATTCATTAAGTCGTGGCTGGTAATTTTTTTTCCCTCCGACGCAATGTCTTTGTATTGTGAATAATCTTCGTACCAGCCTTTCTTGCAGTACCAATGAAATTGGCCTCCCATCACAGCTACCATATCCACTCGTTTAGAACGGAAATAAAGCACTAAAACATTGTGAATAATTATGTTACGATTCGTAAAAAGTCCAAGCTATCTCAGAATAGTTATTATTCTAAAGCTTGAATTTTATCCGATGCCACAAAGAAGTCAAACAACGTGTGAACAAATAACCAAGTATGATTAATTGAGAATGCTACGCTTAGCATGTGAAAAGTAAGAATAGCAAAGAAAATGCTGATTTGAACTCTGAGTTTACAATGATAAGGACAAAGAATCAAGAAAAGATCTTATAGCTAGGCAGGCACAACAGTGAAGAATGCTGAGCTCCACAGATGGCGAAAAACAGTTCAGTCCGTGACGGTGCAAAAAGGAGCTACAACTGGGACGAGACGAAACGGCAAGGGGGTGATGATCGTACCAAATATGGGAACTTAGCGATCCAACAAACTGAAAACTGGATTCAATTCACAAACTCTCTCTTGTGGAACAAGATTCAGCTTTATACTTAACCTGGTCTGGAGGAACTTACATGTGTCGTTCCGAATTCCACAGACGACTCGCCACCTCAGCGGGTTGAAATGGTGCAGAAGTCAAGAAGTGAAAGACTTCTCACAGCCCGTGTACGGTAGAATTGCCTTCCCAAATCTCTCTGGTTGTGTGTGTGTGTGTCTCTCTCTCTCTCTCTCTCTCTCTCTCTCTCTCTCTCTCTCTCTCTCTCTCTCTCTCTCTGCTTTCTCCTTGTCTGCCAAATCCCGACTTTTTATAACCTACAACTATTCAAGATATTTCTATTCATTACTTAAGTTTCATGAAATAGACTTTTTAGCATTACTTAATCTTTAAAAAATCCAGAACATAGGAAACTGCAAATATCGCTGGCTCACAATAATTTTCCGGGACATACAGCGAAATTATTCTGGACTACGGTCGGTCATTCACCGTGGTCGTGGCCAGGGGTCAAACGCAGGTCACGCAGAATCGTGTGCAGCACCGTTACATAACGGTGCTGAAATTCGCCTCTTGGGATATTTCTCTTCGAGAAATTCGGAATTTCTCAACAGAGGTTTCGAGAAAATTGCATTTAAAGGTGGTCTCTTTTCAATACTTATTTCCCCAGGAAGTTTCTTTTCATGCCATGCCTTTGACTTAACCAATACTACTACCTGAAAGTAGGGATCTTAAATGACACTAAAGTACAAAATCATATTCATAGAAGTCCATTAAAATGTCATAGTTTGTAAAGAAACACGTTTGTCTGTTCGTGGAAACGCTAAAAACCGTGAGATTTGTCTATTTGTGAAAGCAACTTTTTTTGTAAAAAAGCGTATTGCTTCCAACACAAAAAACTTGTTTAAACAAATTATAATCTCGTTTAAACTGTAAAACTGCCTCGTTTAATTAAACACAATGATAAGTCATTTAAACGAGATAATTAGCAAAATCGTTTAAATGAAATAAGTCGTTTAAATGGGATAACAAAAAGTCTTTTACAAAAATAAAATACTTTTTCGCGTTGGTAACAATACATTCCGCAATTCTGTTGAAGCGCATGAGAGAGGCAAAGAATACATTTGTACTCATTTATAGGAGTCAAGTTCGCCTCTTCGTGGAACGAGTTTGCCCGTGGTTTTGCCCTTTATTGCTCAGTAACGCTATATTGATGGAAGACAAATTCGCCTTCTTCGTGAAAACGAAAAATACCTTACTTTTCAAATACTTGAATTTTACCCAAAATAGATCACCTTGATTTGGATGATTTTCATAGATTTGGTAACAATATTGTTGTCGATTTTACCCGGAAAAAGAAAGTTTAAAATCACAATTTGGGGCCCATTGTGCCTCTTCATGAAAACGGTAACGTTATTGAAGCACATACGGTTAACAGCTGATTTATGAAGACAAATCGCGATATGTTCTTTAAGATGGTAATATGAAAACTGAAAGGCAGAGCTCATACTACAAAACCCTGTCTAATCAAATTTTGCTGCCCTTGCCAGGGGCGTGACCCAGGATTTTACGAAAGGGGAGCGTGAACTAAAGCAGATTATGGTATAATGCCCGGGAGCTCGTAACACTTAACCCTACGGAGTGGGGATCCGGGGCCATTTTAGATTCTGGATGCTCTGTGGTGTCATTTTCTGCAGTATGACCCCTCTGCTTCTTCTCCCTCCCTCTTTTTTCTCCTTCTTTCTTATTTTTTTTTGGGGGGGGGTTCTTTTTATATTTTTTGCTTGTTCTGATGGTGCAAAAGGGGGAGTGCGGCGAGCGCTCCCACGCCCCTTGGATCTGCCCCTGCTGGCATCAATAAGTAATACCCATGGCTTTGCCTGAGGTAGGTTTAGTGTAGTCCATGCATTTTTGGTACGTCAAATTGTTTCAAGATGCGCTTTGAGCCGGGGAAATGTTTCTGAACCTAGAAATAAGTCTTGAAGTAGTTTGAGGTACCCACAGCCATATCTGACTCGGACCGGCCAGCTGATCTTTTGTTTGGTGACCCAATGATCAAGACATCTGCGCCTGTAATAAAGAGGGTGGTCGTGGGTTGGAGTCCCGGCCGAGTAAGCTTGGGACTTTTTTCGCAAGCTCTTGGGAAAGACACTGAGCATCCCGTTATTGAAAAAAAATCGTCGAATTGCTTCTCATATCTTCAGATATCGACGAGTGCTCGACTGACTACATGAACTGTCCGGAGGGAGAGGCCCAAGTCTGCAAGACAAGCAACGGCACCATCCTGTGCGAGTGTCACCAAGGGGAGGCTATCGTGTGTGAAGGTAAACAGGAACCAGACGATAAGACGTGACATTCGCCGTGCATCACGGGATTTAGTGAGACACAAACAATTTGTCAATCCTTATGCACAATGCTGTGGAATAACTGCATAGTTTGTGTCGTACAGATGACTCCAAAGTACGGCATCCTTTTCTTCAGGTGTATATTGAGGATTTCAATCCCTGGTATTTAGAAAAACCCATTTTTTAAAGCTGACCAGAAAGTAAAAGAGTATCGGGGATTTCCTCACATGAATATCAGTTTTTGTCTGTGTTTATTATCATAACTTTCAATGAGCTATTGTTGGCCACTAAGAGTCAGTGATTGAACCTTTTCATCCCGCATTGACCAATCACATTCATTTTTCCAGCTCATAGTAACTGGTCCCCCTTTTCTCCGTTGCTATCCATGCACAATCCCATGTAGTGTGCTTCATTGTTACGTAGTCGAAACACTGCTGCCAGCATTTTCCAGCAGGGGATATCAAAGAAGCTATACAGCTACAGAAATGGTGCTGGTCGCCGATTCAATATTCTCGAATCTTGTTTCACTGGCAGGTACTTGTGCCGATGGATGTTATGGCCCGCTGGTGTGCTTTGAATATAAGTGCGCCTGCTTCGAGGGATTCTTTCTAAACACCGACAACAAACCGTGTATAGGTAACCATAGAGTTGTGATTTCGCAGGTTAAACCATCTTCATATCGAATAAGTCCTTTTGCAAGTTAAATTTGAATAAAATCTGGTACACCCCATCTGATTGCACATAAGTATAACAATTTGAATTCCTCAAACTGAAGACACTGTTGCTTTACCTCGTCATTTAAGGCAAGTTTTTTTGTGTAGCGACCGCTGCACCATCTCTGGAATGGACTGGTTCCTTTGTGCAATTAAAAACAATTCATAACTAAACTCCTTAATTTATGAAACTTTATGAATGACCCACGCAATATGCAGTCCCTCCTAAACTGGCATTGTATGCAGTTAGTGCCTTAATACCCTTCGCCTGATTGGTCAAAACACTTCGCTGTAATTTGCTAAATGCTCTTGACCGTGATTGGTTAAAAGCCTTAACTGTGAATCTATGAATAATTAGTGCTAGAATCCTCCACAGAAACCCAACCTTGCGAGACCTGAACATTATACGAGTTAATACAAATATGCCAACAGTTATATACAATTTTCTTGAACAGTGAATATAACCACCCAGGACAGTTGTAAATAAACTGCTTTTAATCACACAAAGTCTGTGAACTCATGTTTGACCAAGTAAAGGGTATTCTAATGGTGTAAGAACTATTTGAGTAAAACGATTGCGGTTTCACCATGGATCAATCTCTTTCTTGAGTATGCGTGGTTCTGGGGAGAACTGGGGTTCTTCCCCGGTTCTTCTCAGAGCCACACATACTCCAAAAAGAGTTTGATCCATGGTGAAACCGCGATCATTTTACTCATGAAAGGTATTCTATCAAAACATACACATTGTTACAGAATCTCATATTGATGCAAGGCGTCTCTTGTGTAACCAAGCAAAACATGGACCGAGTCACGAGGCATAGCAAAGAGAACAGAAATGGTGAATGACATTTTTCTAGAGATTGTTTGAAAAAGGTTGTTGGTTTTCAAGGTGAGGGATGTGATGAGGCGATCCACGATTGCACCGAGACGGAGAAATGCGTGAACACGATCGGAGGCTACAACTGCACATGCGCAGAGGGCTACGTCAGGGAAGACATCGTGAATGGAACTTGCAGAGGTAAAGAAGTCAACCAGGTGAACCAAAACGTTATTTTAGCAGTGAGAGGGCTTCTTAAATTTGTACTAAGAAACCAGAGGTCCTAGGTTCTTCATTCCCAACGTTTTTTCATTTGTTCTCGTATGGTCTTTCTGGAAATTACTGTATTATGTTTATTAACCTCTTTTGATTGCTTTGTTTATTGCTTTGTTGACATATCTGATGGGGTAGTTTTGTCTTACGATGAATTTTGGTAGAATGTTAAACTTTTACAGTAAACAGAGTGAATTGTTTTTTAAAAACAACAGAGAGAATGATTTCATTTGACCGTCGTTTCATTCAAAGCTGTTTCACTTGTTTGGGTGCTGTTTAGTCCCCTTTCTCTTAAATTTAATTTCGACTTCCTTCCCATAGGCCTAATTGTGGGAATTTAAAACAAATGTTGTGACTTTTCCCCCCTCATGTTCCTTAATCTCCTTCTCTCACCACTTATTTGTGATTTGTTTGTGTGGCTTGGAATAATGCAAGAATTGTACTTTTTAAATTAAAAAAAACGAGGCGTCTTGTAAGGGTTCTTTTTAACACCAATAAACTGCAGTTTTGCGGTTTGGTTTTTTTCGAAACTCTAGACGTGGATGAGTGTGCAGAGAGGACTTACAGATGCAATCATCTGTGCATGAACGAGGTTGGCAACTACTCCTGCTCATGCGTGGAAGGCTACACGCTGAGTGAGGACGGATACACCTGCTTTATGCCATTGGCGCTCAGCGGTGAGTGTTGCCGTGGTGGTTGTCAGCACGCCCACTTTTGGTTGCTCAACCTGTTGAGTAAACCTGAGTAGTTGAGTCTGCCTTCCTCGCAATGCGTACGTGGTTCGGTTCGGCGCTGATAACGTGCGGGAACGGTCAGTGCAACCTCGCTTCCCAATAGGTCTGTGTGTTCGGCGGTGCCCATACCGACTTGAGCAAACTTCCAGGCCTTTGGTGCGCAACATGTGGGGCTTGCTTCCGAAATTGGACGGAACATTCTGATTGGCTAAGAATCCCGATTATATGAATATTTATTTGTAGCGACGGTTTGATTGGTGTTTAAAAAGGTCAGCTAAACTTTGATTAGCAACAACCACTTTTTCGTTTATTGAAGGGGGGTTTACATTATTCTAAAAAGATGTTTTGGCATAAAACCATCGGTTCATTTTCCTAAAAAGTTATATTAAAGCAAGATATGGAAAAAACTGGCACTAACCAAATATGGACATTCCTATATATAAAATAGATGAGTCTTCTATGTAACATGAGCTACTACTGGCGCCCTCAATGGAAATGTATGGAATATACCGTGCAGTTGTTGCAGACATTAATTTCCATCCAGAGTAAGGTTGACCAAGTTGTTAGACGGACACAATGGGGTCGTGGGACAACGTGCGCTTCGTATCCTGGCTGAATCAGCACGGCACACCGGATTGCGAGCAACAGTACTATAAACTGTAAAAAAACGACGCAGCATGCCAGCTCATATCGGTTGTTCTGGGACGACAAACACGCCCGACTAACGACTTGATTCCATGTCAGCTACCTTTTTAGAAAAGTTGTACCAAGGCTCGATGTGATACTGGCTTTAAGACTAGAACTTTTTGATGGACAATTCATACTTCAGTTGCATGCAAAAGCCAAATGAATTTGACGTCACGAACATAATTTTCATCTGACGTCACAAATCGGTGTTCCTATCTATTTCTTTTTTATTTTAATACTTGTATGCCAAACAAAGAATAACAAACTACAACAGGTGAAAGGGATGACAACAAAAAAGAAATTAAAAATTAAAACAAAAGAAAAAAAAAGTTAGTTAAAACATGATTCAAAAATACACCAAAGAAGATAAAAGGGTTATTACCAACTGCTGGATATAAGAAACTATAAAATTAGAACTAAAATCAACATATTTGCATGACCTGGTACAATTTTGAGAGGAAAACTGGGGGAACGGCTACTTATTTCAGGATTGATGAGTTCTGGAGTTGTTGTTCTCATGTCTTTTTCGTCTTTTTCTGTGTTCCATTAAATCATACTTAGACCAGTCATATTACATAAGACTCCAGAATTGAGTCATTCGCTCTCCTTAAGCGATTAAACCCACCCTTGTAGGTTTTGAAAATCACGATTAGGTCATGCCAAACAATTGACTTGTTATTTAGAAAGAATGGAAATGTTGAGCTTTGAGCTTTTCTGTACCGTAAGTTTCTTTTCCCCTATTTTTAGAGGCCTACATGACGTTGTCTCAGGAGGATGCACTCGATGAACCGGTACGTAAAGCTTTGAGCTCTCACTATTAAAAGGGATTTGTAATTTCAGGGCTATTTTGTTTTTTTTTTCCTTTTTTTCCCTCTCGATTTGTTTCCTGTTGAAAAAGTTCATTTTAGAATTTTTTTTTACTAATTGCCCAAATATGTGGCCTTCAATTTTGGCTTGTTTAAGAGAAAAAAAAAACCAACAAAAAAACCCAAACAAAAACACAAAAACCAAAAAACATTAGTATGGCTACAGCATGACAGTACACGCTGACATATTACCAGCAAGTTTCAATCCTCGCATTTTGCTTTAGAAGCCTTATTTATTAAAAGTGCTGGACAGCGGATCAAGTGATTGGGGAGATGAAGGGTCTACGGATAAAAAAAAAAGAAGAAAAAAAAGCAGAAGAAAAAAAAAAAAAAGATCCACAGCACATGGCTTTCAAATTGCCTCATCGCTTTCCACAATCACCACGGGCTGAAGTCACGTCACGTGGCATTTCACCACGTGCCATCCTTTTGCCATAAATTGCGCATCCTCGCAGAGAAGAAATAAGGCGCCTTATAAGGCGCCTTAAGGCGCCCTAAGGTCGAATTCTGTTTTATTATGGTATATGTCATTCTAAGACCACCCACGACTTTCTCGGCAGAAAAATTCAAATTTTTAACCTTTTGCTCTGTATATTGAAGGTCGAGATCACAATGACGACGAACGGGTTTGCATGGTGGCTGTTACCTCTGGGGATAATCTGCGGCTTTGTCATCGTCGCCCTCATGGGTGAGATCTGACTTGAATTTCACTTGAAACTAGCTTTTCACAGATGCCGGTACTTTGGCACGTTTCCAAAGTTTTAGAAAAGGTTTAACAGGATTTTTGAACATTAACACGACAAAAAACAAAGTACATGTACATTTATAGTAGCGGACTGAAAGGAACTGTTTGACACACAATATTCCATGTTTTGTTACATGTCAAGCCATTGGAAGGAACAAGTCCGCACGGTTTCGACGGGGGACAGACGTGCCGTTGAACGGTGAGAACTCAGAAACTCGAGGTTTATTAGCCAAGCCTAGAACTGCCTCGTACCGTCCCTCGAAAAATTGTGACAGATATTATAAAGGTGTTATCTCGGAAATTAGCTTATACACCCCCCTAACTTTTGATGGAATCATCCCCCAGCTTTTTTGTGCACGAGCATATGAAATTATCAGATCCCCACTTTTTTTGTGGTTAGAAAACAATTCAAGCGGATTGTGAAAACTTTTTCGGACTTCCCAACCACAATGCATCCAATGGCACTCACTGAGGGAACGCGATCTTTAAAACAGCTGCAAGTAGGCCGTTTTGATGTAAAGTTCCGAAGGAGTTGGTGTACTTCTGTATCGCCACCTATTGCCATAATAGCGCAGCAAGTCAACCTCCTCCCCGATCCCTGAGTTCCCGGCACAAATTGATGCCCCTGTCAGATATTAACAGCATTTGAAATAGCGCCCGCTGACAAGTCAATCGACAGAGCTGTATCAAAGACAGTGTCCCACACAGTCTGTAAGGAATTAACGGTCGCATTTTTGTTCCTACTTTGTTTTTTTTTACTGAGGATACCAACTGCGCCATTTTTTTTCATCAAGCCTGTTTCTGTGCTTGATACCTACAGCTTTCCGCTCCCTTGGCGGACGTATGGCGTCTGGGCTACGTAGCCGCCTGTCCCATCGCGACGAGAATCGAGAGTCCAACGTGTACATGAGTCCTCCCTCCCAGCAGCGGGGCAAAGACGCTGCAGTGGCGTAGCTGGGATTTTACTAGGGGGGGGCACTGACATCTTATGAAGGCACCAGCTTTCAGTGGTGGTGTTTTTTTTTTTTTTTTGGCGCAAATTTTTGTTAGCCTTTTTCATTATCCAGTCATCCGTTTTTATTCAGGGCGGAGGGCACCTGGGGGCCCCCTTTTTTGGGGGGGGGGGCAAGTGCTCCCCCTCCCCCTGACTACATCACTGACATGCAGACAACTAGATGGGCGGAGACGGTTTTTGATCAATAACACTGGAGTAGGTACGTAACGTAGTTCTACAAACACGTACTTTTTCAATCAGACGCACATACAACTTTGACATTATATTTCGCGTAAGAGCGCCTGTTTATTATGATTGCTTGTTTCTCTTCTAAAAAGTAACACTTATAAAGTAGTTGCAAAGACAGTTCATGTCTAAATAATGACTGCACTTTATGAAATGATTTGCTGTTTTTATGTTTGGTAACAAAGAATGCAATTTAACAAAATACCAGACAACTGATAGACCTACCGCTTGTTTTGTCTTTTCTTTCTTTTATAGCGAATTATGTAATATAAAAATGACAACTAATCAGTGACGCATCCAGCAGGGAGCGAGACAAGGGGCAGCCCCCCCACGGATTTTGTAATATCAAATGTTAATAAAAAATTTTAATCAATATTAGCACCAAAACCCTAAGAAACTACACCACGAAATAAAAGCAAGGATGTACGGACCGCGAATAAGTCTGATTTTTTTCTCCCTCAACATAATATTGAATAAGCTCGAAGCTCTATTCGCTTTTAACCCCCCCCCGACACAAACAAAATTGAGAGCTGCCGTTTTATGTGCTTAACAGCCTGTTATAGCTCCTACGTACGCCATTTTGAAGAGCAAAAATTCAAAACGCCAATGAAGATGTCGGCTGGATTTTGTTTTCTGAATAAACTTTAGATTAATAAATCGTTCCACATTACGATGTGGAAACTGGGCCACAACTACTACTTTCCCAAATACAAAACTGTATATCAAAAAGAATATGGTGTATTAAAGCTAAATTATTTAGTATAGTTTGACTTATTGCAATTATTTCATGTCAGTTTTATGTACACATTATATATGTATTTCGAGTTCTGAAGAAAAAATTCTTACGTGGATTTATCACTTTCGCCGTACGTACTTAAATATGAAGACCTTATAACTATGTGAAGTTTGCGGTGACACCATGTAATCAAATACTCTCGTTGAGTGTGTGTGGTTCTGAAAAGAACCGGGGACCTTATAGTTACATGTATATAGGCTTAACATTGCATTTGGAATGTGTCACTTTGTTTAAACAGAATACATGCACTGAAATTTATTTCACGCAAACAATGTTGACGAAGGACATCAACCAAACCAAGAATACACGTGATTAATTTTCAGAACGTGCCGGGGACAGCAAGTCGGAGTTATTATTTTTGAAATAAAACACTGGAAACGAAAATCCACCCTTTTCTGAATCACATCTGTTTGTGTTCAAATTTTGATAGCCCAAGAGTGTAAATTTTCGTAAATCCTCGACATAGGCCCCTAGCCTTTGAGGAATTGATTGGATGTCCGGAATGTATGCTACCGGGAGTGATCCCAGGGACCTGAAGGCGCGTGAAATCCTCATGTTCCCTCCAATCCTTAAAATTCTCGACCTCGGGACCAAATAGTCATGATACCAGTGTGACCCATGCGCTATGAGATAGGAAAACTGAGATTATATGAATTGGCTGGGTTGCCCTGGTGCGCAAGGCATCGAAAAGCAAACAGAGAAGCCACACCATCGGAGGAAATACTATGCTTCCAAACTGTGTACCTGGCCAGTGTAGTTAGGCTGCGTGAGAAAGGGGTGCTTGGGCAGTAGCACGTTAGGGGCTGGAGCGGTTGTAGAGCCATTGGGAGGTGAATAGACCCTTCACACGAGAGGTTACCCTTTAACTTTCGCTACTGCTTTAAAACAAATTTGCCTTTTTCAGGTGGCTAGACAAAAAAGCCCCCTGAGGCTGCCCCCCTCCCCGAACCTCACCTCGTGGGGGGCAGATCAAGTACCAGACTGTTGGGGGCTGGAGACTTTTAAAAAGAAGAATCAGGACACTAACGGGAGGAAAAAACAAGACAACACTGATCATAGGTGACGGCGAAAACGGATAATAGAAGCACTGAATGAGGCGATACAAGGGCATTCCAAAATGGACCACTGCGTTGTTTTTAGCCTACGGTTTGCCACTCAAGCTAAAAGGGAAGGAAAGCCTACAAGAGCAAACAACCCCCGGCCACGCGTAGCGCCCATGGGGACGTCCAAGACAACCTCGAGTCCTAAACGATAGAGGCTGTTGGGTCAAATTGATCCACAATCTAAATCTGATTGGGTTACACCGTCAAGCTACATGCACTTCAAATTTAACGAAGTGGCGTATTGTTTGTACAACGCTGTCCTGCGCGTACCGACCACACATCACCTTACTTGCATGCATTATAATCAGAGGTGTTGTAGCTGTTCAAGATAAAAGTCTCTGCAATGCAAGTTTTTAATACAACCTTTGAAAGCAAACCTCTGTGCTTCTATTTGGAAAAAAAAAGTACTTTGGCACCTTGGAGAAGTGCATGCAAATTGCGGGGTAAACACATTTACGTTTTTATTGATTTGTGGACGGAAACTAAAGGAATTGTCAATTGTTTTTGGTCTTAGTTTATTTTTCTTTGGCGAGTGGTTGTGCACATGCTTTTTAGTACAGAGCAATGCGTTAATCAGCAACCCGTCTCAGAAATGTTTTCAATGAGTAAATAGTGGGTTGGACAGAAAAAAAAACACTGACTGAATATTCCTTTCCTGGATGACATCTCCGCACGATTACAGCGGTTTTTGCACTGGTTTAATCATTGGATATTTTTTTTATCCATCTTCGTTTACGCAAAAGACTTAATTCATGGGAATGCAATGATATATTGACCGTGTACCCTGAATTTATCTTATTTGAGGTAATCTGTTCTGCGGGGAGTCGCCAGATTTTTTTTTTTGGGGGGGGGAGGTGTGTTTCAAGCTGCACTCGTATGTGGCTTGAAATATTCAGATATTATTCAGCACAATTTTTTAATTATTCATCAACATAAACCATATTTCTATTTCCAAGAAGTCAATTTCAGCGCCCCCTGTGAGCAATTTCAATAATGAAGTTCTTTAATTTATTGGAAAATGTGATGGGATCTGTTCTGGAATTTCGGAACACAATTAAAGACCAGCTCAATAATTAGACACTTAACCCACTCCACTTCATTTGCAAAGTGACAAGCCACTTGTAGCGCTCTCTACCAGTAGAGGGCGCACGTTTTGTTTTGTAGAGAAAAAAAAATCATGACCCAGTATTACAAAGACAGAAAAGAAAACATCAGATAGTGTCCTCGTTGCAAAACATCTAAAAAGAAAATAATTAAGGTTGAGGGTAAAAAGAAATAAGCAAAATAGGAGTACCAAAAAATAAGGTTTCATCTAAGCTTCTAAGGTTAACTCTGCAAGGTTCACAGACAAAAAAATTTACGCCTGGCAACTTTAACTAAATAGTTCAGCCTCTTACATCAGCATGATGCACAAGGGAGGGGCCCATGCAAGACATGACATTGCCAATATACACACAAGAAGGGTTCTTGCGTCAAGCACTGAAACATAGATTTCCCTGACTGGAAACCTTTAAAATAAAGGGGAAGGCTTTATTTCAGTTCAAAGTTCAAACCTGACGTCAGTTTTCATGCTGAAGGAGCAATTTGGTAATGTACAAAGTCATTTTCTTCCATACACATACAAAGTTTGTTTTGCATGCAATGGTGTATCCAGGTTTGGGGTTGGGGAAGGCAAATTTCAAAAACAACTACTACTTCTGTTTTTATTCCATGAAAGAGCCCTCCTCCTACTCCACAGAAGGGGGTAGTGTCATTTCTTAATTAAAAATAATTAATAACCCCTCCAAAAATGGGCAACACGTCACCAAGAGGCAATTTCCATCGGGTAACATGTCACCAAGGGGCAGCTTCCACCAGGTAACATGTCACCAAGGGGCAACTTCCATCAGGCAACATGTCACCAGGAGGCAACTTCCATCAGGCAACATGTCACCAAGAGGCAACTTCCATCAGGCAACATGTCACCAAGAGGCAGCTTCCACCAGGCAACATGTCACCAAGGGGCAGCTTCCACCAGGCAACATGTCACCAAGGGGCAGCTTCCACCAGGCAACATGTCACCAAGGGGCAGCTTCCATTGGGTAACATGTCACCAAGGGGCAGCTTCCACCAGGCAACATGTCACCAAGGGGCAGCTTCCACCAGGCAACATGTCACCAAGGGGCAGCTTCCATCGGGCAACATGTCACCAAGGGGCAGCTTCCTTCCCCCTCCACTCCCCACCCCCTCCTGATACACCACTGCTTACGTGATATCATTATTGCTATTCCCAGCCTCATCAGATTCTCAGGGAAGAGAGTGGCCTCAAACATGTAGGTCTGAAGCTACAGTTAATAGATCAAATTCACACACATGATGTAAGGTGCCAACATACACAAGTGTGTATTTGCCTGCAACCGGGGACCCCCTATTGTTCCTCTTTTGTTTGTACTTTAACTTTTTTAGAAAGCCACCCATATGTTTTGTACACAGNTGCAGAAACAAACTCGTACGTATCAGGGATGTAAACAAGTCTACTACAAGTCCTTTCCCACAATCGCTCGTAACGGCAAAGTAACATGAGCAATGACTAGGAGAGTGCTTCAGTTACCATTTACTTGAATAGGCCCATGTACTGATGGCACATGTGCTTTTTCCTCTATAGAGCCAGTGGGGGCCCATGGTCCACAGAGCACCACGGGAAAGCACACATCTAAACAGGTGTGGTGTCATCAGTACAGAGGCCTACAGCCCACGACTTCGCTTGCGACCAAGGGTGAATTTTTGTGCTCACAACCATGGATCAATGTGTTTCTTTTTTGACAGAGCACGTCTTCGGTGACATTAACTGGGCATGCATGATCAAAAAACACCCAAGAATCCCACCCCCCCCAAAAAAAATAACAAAAGAGAAAGAATTGCACAATGATTAGTTGTGAAGGCACGGAATTCACCTCAGATGACTTTCTGATGGACTTGTGGGAAAACATGCTGAAATCAGGCTAGTGCATACTTCAGAAGTTCGGGCACTACACCTTGCATAGTCTAATACTGGTTTATAGTTGCATCAGAGCAACCCCACACACGTACACAGAGAACTAATTATGTACCTCTTGACTGACAAAAACTGACAGAGACACACAAAAGTAACAGGTTTACAAAAGTGCATACAGTGCCATTAGCATGAATAGCAAATGGGGGGCAAATGGCTGGACAGAGACTACACCATTGCAGCCGGCGTCTTCGCAGAAACAGATAAGGCCATTGACGGAGGCACCCTCGCTGCCGGGCACCAGGGAAGGCAGCCAGGGACTAGCCTCTTCTCCATGGTAGCACCTGCTCCGTGGAAGGCTATCTTCCTTGAGGACGACACAACCTCTGGCCACACCATCCATGATAATTGTGGCTCCTGTGGAAGTAATTAAACCAGATTATTCTAAGTGCTATGGAATTCTTTGCGGCTGTACATAGTTTGCACCTCCAAGCAAATAAATTCCACAAAATGTGATTAAGAGGACATTCTGTGGACTCTCGTATGTCCACACAGTGTTTTCCCTTCTCTAAGAAATGGCTCTAGAGGCATTTTGGGGTCAGGGTTATTTTTGGCAAAATGAAGAGAAACAGTCCAGGAAATCGACATCTGATATCCAGCTCAAAGAGTTAGCAAAGTGAGAGAAAAAGAGGTTTTTTTTCCAGAGAACAAAGGGATGTCCACATTATGTGAAATACAAGTAAGCATACGTGCATCTGTTTGTTGTGCCTTGTCCTTGTGGGGTACCAGAACAATAGGAATAACAATAACCCTACAAGGAACATTCCTTGTCCTTGTGGGGTACCAGAATAATAGGAGGTACCCCACAAGGAACATTCCTTGTCCTTGTGGGGTACCAGAACAATAGGAA